CCCATAACCTGTGTCTGAAGGCCTGTTCTTCTGGTGGATATATTGTCTTGGAGGTTATAACCGTCCTGCTTGAAAATGAAATAAGGCATAATTTTGCTTTTACAGTTTTATGTGACTAATGCTTTATGTTTTATAGTTATGAAGTTGTGAGCTACCAGAATCTTATGAAATGGGTAGCACACAAATAATAAGCAAATAAATAATGTTGCCCTCTCAACTCGGTGCTATCACTGCATCTCCAGACCAATAACTGTTTATAGATTTGTCCTCCATGAATTTATCCTGTCCCTTCTAAAGCCATCCACATTAGTGGCCCTCAGCTGCCTTTTTATTAAGCCAAAGAGCTCCAAAGATTTCAACTTTTTTTTCACAAAGTAGGTGATCGTATTGTTTGCTCTCTTCTACATTGACCAGAATGCCACACAAGATTCCAGATGCAGAAGTTGGCAGCTTCATTTTCCACCCCCTTCATGATGCTCCCTAGCATGGACCTTGCCTTGGCATCTTCAGAGCTTTCGACCACAGCTTCAAGATCTTTCTATGATGGCTGCAAGCCTATCGCTGTACGTGTTAGGGAGGGGAGAGATTTGCACCAGCCTTACTTTATGCTTAGAAAATGTACTTACACTGCTCTAAACTTGCTAGTCTAACATGACTCTCAGCTGAATACAAATAACATCGCTTCTGAGCTGAGTTCAATTCCCGTTGACTTTAGGGCAGGGGTTTCAAACGTCTTCAGGCTGTGGAATCTGAACTCCATCAAGTTCACGTAGAATTCTAGGGTTCTGCAGAACACAGTTTGAAAAAGAATCTGCTTTAGGATATATCCCTGAACTTGGGAACAATGCAAAAGGAAATTTTACATTTTATGGTTTTAATTGTTTTAATTGGCTTTTAATGATTTTATTTGTTTGGGTTGTTTGTTTGTATTTATTTATTGTTTTATTTAATTGTGAGCCACGTATGTGAGATGGGCAGCTATAGAAATTGAATAAATGAAGTAAAAAATAATAATAAATAATTGCCCTTGCCTTTTTCTGTGATCTTTTTTTTTTTTTTTTTTTTGCTTCCCTGCCTATGGTTCTGATTTCCCCTGGTGCTCTGAAACATCTTCGTCTTTGAGATGTTTCCACAAAACAAAACCTATCAACATCAGACGAGGTGAAAGATGCTGAGAATTGTACATTAGAAAGACTAGAGATTTTCCATCCTTATTATAATTACTCAGGCTTTTTTCATTAATCAGGATCAGCGAATTGACAAAAAAGATTGCCAGTGCAAAGTCTGCCACAGCCTTACCAAAAAATGAACTTGTTTAATTGGGGTCACTGCAAGTCATCTGAAGGGAGAAGGCTGGAAGAGAGATGG